CCCTTTTGTGGTTTTATAACTTAACTTGAATACTGAAAAGATTTATATGGATAGGAAGGAAGCGGTGCCTCTTCAAGATACAAAGGTACTAGCAGAAAGAAGTAGCCCTGGGATCACTTAATTCCACTTGCTTTCTGCAGATGGTTTTAATGGCTTTAGTCTCCTGCAGATACTCAGTTGCACTCACGCCAAATTAACTATTATCTTGTAACTGGCTATAAATACTAAGGAATAAAACAACTCTGAAGAATGCTAATTTATGGTTGGAACTCCAAATCTTCTCTTGTAGATATTAAATGTTTTGTTTCACTCCCCTGTTAGTATCAGTTCACTGCCTTAAGCGTTTTCTTGGCTCTTTGGGGTAAGGGAACCCAAAACACGTTGCCTGAAACAAAAGGGGTTGGGACATGACTAGGACCCTTAGGGGTACTGCAAATTCAAGTAAGTACAGATCTTGTCGGTACTCAAAAGTGCACGTAATGGGGGATTTTATTCTGTCTGTCTAGGTGATTGGTGCACACAGTGTACATGTGGTGTGAATGCTCATACTTTTAAAATTTGTTGTTATTGTTCATACTTTGGGAGAAATACTATAAGCTTAGAAAGAAAATTGTTGCATTGGAATGGAAATGAAATTTAAGATATACACAGAGTCATACAGTTTGATTAAAAGCTGATGTACTTCTTCCTTCCCCGTCTAATAAAAAATAAAAAAAAAAAACTTTATTAGCTGTAGTACTTGCACACAAACAGAAGTGAGTTATCAGATCATCTCAGCTCTATTGGTGTGTATGTTAAAGAAAGGAAACAAGTTTGGGACAGATACAGTAGGATATTTATATGTTTCTCCATGAGAAGGAAAGCTCTGTAACTCTGGAAATCAAATTGCACACATAGTAAATCAAAATTTATGGAATATCCAAACATTTAAATAAGTAAACCAGCAAAGTATTAACCAATGTCATTTTGGATAGTGTTTTTATTTTATTTTATTTTATTTTATTTTGGTGTATGTTTTTCTTCTTTTGTTGGTTTTTGTGTGGTTTTGTTTTTTTTGGGGGGGTGGGGAGGGGGTTGAGTGTTATTGTTATTTCTAGTGGGTTATTACTCAAAAGAAGGCTTAATATCTCTGTGTTTTGCAGTGTGAGAAACAGGGCAAGTGCATTTTCCTTGAAACCAAAAAAAAAAAACGGTTCCTTCTAATGATATAGAAGTCTGAAGTTAGAAAGCTAGAAGGTGATGAGGGAGTAAGCAACAACAGTGACAGGCTGGGAAAGGGAATATGCACACTGGCAGAAGTTCAGTTCTTTGAGTAGCTAACACTGTCATACATTGAGATCATATAATGTAATTTTAATATTTAAATTTTGCTGTTCCATTGTCAAAACAGTCTATTAAAAACACCATGTTGGTTTGACAAATAAAATAATTTTGCTCTGAAGAACTTCAGTAAACAGGCAATTAACCAGCAGTATTGGCAGAGCTAGGCAATTTTTTGCATATATTTTTGATAGTGACAGCCCCAAAAAGCCCAAGTAAACAGATGGGGACAGTTGATTTGGGATTAATTGATATATGGATACTTTCCTCTATGCAGAAAAATATGCCTCTTCTATCTTGAAAGCTTGTTTTTGAAGCATTTGCTAGGTTTGTAATTTTAGGTAGCATTATGTGATTTGATTCTAAACATATTAAGAGGTAGCGCTGAAAAAAAATACAGTTGTTAGGTTCCTGCCTAAGAGAATGACAGTCAGGCAGTATCAGTATCCAGGAATGTGCTATGAGATACCAGTATACTCTTTCTTGGTCTCAGCCTTTTCTTTTGGTAATGCTCCATGCCTCTGATCCTGCGTTCTCTTGAGCATCCTGCTGAATCGTTTGAGATGATTTACATAGACCTAGATGTGTTTATTTCTGTATTTTGAAAGAGAAATAGATAAAGGCTCACAAGAGCCTTTTTGGCACTGGTTGCAGATGCTTCTTGCAGAGAAAGTAGTATTGAGAAAACTCAGGGTCAGCTCTCCGGACCTTATTTGTTGATGTTGCTGCTGTCAAGTGAACTCTGTGCAGCCCTGCACTCTGGTTGTGAACTTGCTGCTGTTGCCTTTGCTACTTGAGCTTTCTCTTTCAGCTCCAAGTGGTTAGCACATAACTGAATAAGGACTCCAAGTTGCTGCTTTTCTAAGTGACAGATTATGAGCAAGTATTTTTTCTCTCTTCTGAACTGGTTTAAAGACTGGTTTTAGAAACTGCATGTTGCTGCATCTTGGTCAGAATATAGCCTTCTCTTGGTCCAGGTCCATTGCCAACTTTAAAATTAAAATGAAAGTGGACATTTCTAGTCAGTTTAAATATCTTGTGGTTTTTTTAATGTTATATTTAAACATATATGTAATGACTGTTTAGTTTTGCCTCCCCTTTTTTCCTATTCCAAGGAAGCTCATATGGTCAGGTATTTAAAAATAACCCTCTGAGAAAAACTCCTAGAGCCCGATTTACTCACATAAAACCCCAGCTGAGATTGGGCTGATGTTAAAACATGAAAAGCGTTTTGTTGCCACTTCCTCCTCTCCCAGGATCTGGCCTGCAAAGCTGCATTGATGCCTTTTAGTGGTTTGCTGCCTTGTCAGCCAACCTGGGGCTCCTTAACACAGCCTGCTTTTCCCAAGACGAGCATGATAAGTTGACTGTCTTTGCTTGTTTGTTTGTTGGTAGCACCCTAAGCTTTCAAATAACTCCTCTTCTGCCTCCCGTCTGGGAAGCTGCTCTAGAGCAGCCTTTCCTCTGTGTGCTAACAGCCAAATTGCAGGCAGAGTCTTTCCCTCCAGATCCCTACCTGCTCTTCTTCATGGAAATGAACATAGTCATCTTAGGATTTTAACACCCATGGGCTGTATTTCTTATACATTTAGCATTGAGAATGCTTAAGTTAGCACTTTAATTATGATTTTTGGATAATTTGTCATCTTTCAGGGCAGCGGGTTGCATTATGGTTGTTTCTCATTGATACAGAGCTGGGGTGTGTGGATGCCTTGTAGGATGGTGCTTGGGCAGGATTCATTCTTGGGTTTAGTTACTGTGATAGTCTTGTATTTGCATACAGATTTCCTTTGTTTTTTTTCCACGAATCTGCTCTGACTAATCCTTTGGCCTGTATTTCATTAAAAGTGTTGACTACACAATGATGGTTTTGGTAACAGATGAAACAAAACTTTTCCTTTTTTTTCCTTTGCATGTAGAGAATAAGTACAGGATGACTCTTTTTATTTGATAATTGAGAATGTGCCTGACTTTGTTAGGAAAGCCATAGTCTAAGAATACAATTTGCTAGTCTTTTTATAAATTAATGCCAGTATGGTGTATCAGTTCTCACTCCCACTTATCCTCTTATCCCGCCCCCTTCCCATCCCCCTGCTCCCTTCCTATTTTTAGAGGCAACACAAAGCTGTTTTGCTTCAAGCAAGGGACAAAGATTAGGAGAGTTTTAATGTTTTGCAGCAGATTTCTAAAAAGTACCTGAGCCACAGATGTGTATTCCACTTCCCAAATGACAGTAAATTGTTTCTGTGTTGTATTCAGGAATGCTGTTTTTGTTTACTTAAAATAAATAAATAAATAAATTGCTCCTTACCTCAAAGCTCTGAGCAAATTGTGGCTGAAGGTTGAATTCTGGCGAATCTGTGTGTGAGGAGTGCAGATTCTCTCCTCCTCCATATGAGCACTGGTGTTGTGTAACGTTTCCTGTGCTCTTGTGCAAATAAAACTCAGTTCAGAGTCTTCGTGTTCCTGTGATCTGCAAACGGCATGGCAAGGAGAGGAGCCTTGAAGAGGCCTGTTTATGTGCTGGTGGTAAAAGTCACACGTACTTTCAGGAGCCCTAAAGACCCTGCGGATTTTATTAAACTTTAAAGAAAGCATGTGTGTTTGTGTGTGTATCTGTACTGATAAATCCATATAATTCGCACAAAAGGGTGGTGGTAAGAATGCTTGGGCTCACTTTTGTGTCAGATGCAGGTTTGCAACATTGCAGCCCGTTGGTACTGAATGAGGAGCTGGGCTTTTAGCTTATGCAAAGCATGCTGAATGCTTAATAACAATTGTTTGGTCTAATGGTATAATAGTTGTTTACAATATTTAATAATGTGGGAAATATTTCTGATTTAGTTTGCAGTTCTTTTATCTTAAGGAATGAACAGAATTCATTGCTAAACAAAAAATGGGACAATTCAAGCACTTTTTTATCAGTATGGACAGATACAGAGAAATCTTATAATAGAAATAATATATATTTTAAACAAATATTCCATTCAGTTTTAAAGTCTGAGATTAAAAAGTATTGTGGGTGCTGTTATTCATAACTTCAGCTATAGAAAATGTACATTAATATACTGTGATATTGGGTGCATTTACTGGAAATTGAAGTTTAATATTTTCCCCTGGATTTAATATGTTGTGTACTTGATTCAATGTGATAAGTACAATTTTAACAGGGCAGCACATCAGCTCATCAAAGCCATCTAGGAATCTATCCTCATTCTAGTTAAAAGCAAGTCACTCTTGCCATTTATTTTTTTTTCTTTCTGAAAGCCCCATCCTTCTAAAAATAAATAAATAAATAAGTAGTCATCTTTCTATCTGAGGTTGCCATCAGTGCTCATTCAGCTTAAGGCCTTGCCCTGTCTGTCCCCGTGACAATTTCTGCATGCCCTGCAATCACGAGTGAGGTGGTGAAACCGGCACGTTAAGTATCATAGCTGCATACGGTGTGGCTTGGAGCAGTCAGTGTTATTAAAGTCTAAATAGTTATCCAGGATGCTCATCTGCTATTGTATGAGATCTCATTTTATGTCTTTATGCAAAACTCACCCAGCAAAACATGAATGAGATCGTAGGATTTTAATGTAATTTGGCACTTCCATTAGGATTATGGGTGGTGGTGTGTTTTTTTTATTATTATTTTTTCTGTTTTTTTTTTTTTTTTTTTTTTTTTGTGTGTTGAATTGTCAGTTCATTTTTTTGCTCTCTTTTATAGATTTGCAGTAACACTTGTTGGAAGACACCAAAGGTTCATATTCTGTTAAGTTGATACTGATAACAGGTTGTAAAAACTATGGAATATCTGTGCATGGCTGAATGAATTTGGGCTTTTACAAAGCAGGTTTGACACCCGGCCAGTTTTGGTCTCTGTAGACCTAATAAATGAAAGAGATTTTTCCACTGCCCTCTCACAGAAAACAAAAATGCAGCTTACTGAATTGGCTGTTCACTGCCAGTTGAGGAAAAAAGTTGTCATTTTCTTGCCCCATCTAAAGAAATCACTACTAATTAGTAGAAAGCACTAAAACAATGCCATATGCTTTTTATCTTGTATTTGAAAGCACTTTTTTTTTTTCTTAAAAAAAAAAAAAAGCAAGTTAGTGGTAAGAACTTCTTAAAATAAGTTTTGTTAAACCTCAGCAATTGAATTGCATGTGAGACTCAGACAGCTCTTAAGCATACAGGGATTGTGACAAAGGAGTCCCTTTCCAAATTAAGCTGTTGGTTTGCAAACTCTTTCTGACATCTCCCTCTGTGAAAGCAAAATAGACCTTTTCTTTTTGAATAAATAAAACCATAATTGCTTTATAGGGCCTTGCACTAAAGTTGATGGCATTTCTGTGCGTCTGTACTGCAGAAGGAAGAAATGGGGGAAAGAAGGAGCCCCTGCATCTGGTGAGCAGGCCCAGCTCCATAATTGTCTGCAGATCAAAGAGCCATTTGATGGTAGCCGTTAACACCTTCCAGCAGAATATCCCCAGCTCACTTTCTGCCCATCCTCCTAGCATGGCTGGCACTCTGAAAGACCTGAATAGGCTGGGAATGAGGATTTGAGGTGCATGGGAAGTGAGGTGAAAGGCGAGGTGGAGGGAATGTGACACAGGAATCCCTAGTGTTATCAAATAGTGATGTACAAAACCTCTTTTTTTGGGGTGAAATGGCAGACTGATGGTACTGCTGACATGCAAGAGGAGAAAAATAGAAGGTTAGGCTTGCCAGCTGATCAGTTATTTTAAAAAAATATATATAATATGCATCCAAAGATGCTTGGTGTGTGTGTCGAGATGCCCTGGCATGAGTAGGGCTACAAGTCATGCCAAAGGGACAGCCCAGATGTGGTGCAAAAGCCAGGAGCACGCACAGCCATGGCCAGACCTGTACACAGGCATTTCGACACATCCTGCTGTGGAGTGTCTACTCATAAAACTGGAAAATTCAGTTGTCTCATCCACAGTCATTAAGACAACAGTAAAAACTGGCCTGCCTGGTTAGAAACCAGTCAGGTAACAAACATATAAAAGGCCCTTAGCTTCCAAAAAAAGTGGATGAAGGGAGGAGTTGTGCTCATGTGAGCCAAGGGAGTTGATGAGGTGGGTAAATAGTCTGTGAAATGGACCAGGACGGAAACATGGCAGGGGCTTTCCAAAGAGGTGCAACGAGTGTGACCGAGTGTCATAGACAAGAGTGAAGCTCTCTGTAGCTGCTTTAACTTATAAGTAGTCCAAATTTCTTTGTACTCTGCCTTGCCTGACAACATGAATAACTTGGTGAAAGCTATGGCCTGCACTGAGCTGTGGCTATGGCAGCTTTTCCATTTGCTTCCACTTGCACTTGGGGAACACTAGAAATGAAGTATTTTTTCTCTTGTGATAGATGCAGCCTATTCCATTTGTCTTCCACAGGAGCAAAAGCAGTTTCCCCATTTCTTTTGGGTGTCTGCAGAAAGATCCTGGAACCAAAAAAGAAAATTAGTCTTAACATGCAGTCATAAAATTGAAGCTGTTTTGTTTTTTAGGAGAATTGAATAGCAGTGGTTTTTGGTTTTGTTTTATGGAAGATTATTTTTTTAACCTGCATTAGAAAATACATGTATATAAATACATATGTTTTATGTACACATGCGTGTATATCTCTACATGCATATGCATAACATCTGCTCCCTGTTTTTTAGTAAACAGGGAAAAATGAGAATTATCTCATTTTACATTTTTATTTTAATGTTATACATTCATTTTTTCTCAGAAATTCATGGGATTAATATGTAATAATTGTTTGTTCCTGTGCTGTAGCTGCCACTGGAGGTAGGTATTAAAATAATTTCACATTTGGGAATGTTATGTGGTAAAGTAACATTTTTTGTAGTTGGTTGGTTGGTTTTTTGTTTGTTTTCTTTTTGTCTTTGTTTAATAAATCTAGGTTCCATAGTAAGTTGCGGGTGAGTTGGTTTAAAGAAGAAAAAAATAAAGACTTGGAAACAAATCAAAAAAATAATAGAAACCAGGCAGCTCAATTTGAACCAAAATGCTTAGTGTTGTTGTTTTTTCCTTTTTGCTGAAGGACTTACAAAAAACTTCCATAACTGCTGCACTGCCCAGTTTGAGTTGTATTAAAGTACATGGTGTCCATGGAGCCTCTACTGACTAGAGATGACAGAGGTACCTGAGATGCTACAGGTTCAGGATGGGGCTTTCTCTGGCCACTGGCTGAATGGGGGATTTTCTTTGTTCCTTCCACAATGACCCATGCCAAACAAGTTCCATCACTAGGTCATTCCCTAAATTTTGGGGTTGTTAATACTAAACTGTTACTTCTCAGTTTTCTCACTGGCTATTGGTATAACCCAGTGAAATGTAGGCATTTATATTTATGGTGTATGATACAGTTCTGGCAGACTACCACAATTGCTTATGTTGTTAGAGGATACTTTCTGCTTCTACTCATATCTTTCAGGCTCAAAACTTAAAATTTCTGGAGCTAAGCACACTATAGTAAGATGGTGTAAAAACTGACATTTCAATTGCAAAGTCTCACAAATTAGGCACAAATATTGTAATAGAGTTTTATGAGCAGTTTCATTAAGAAACCTATACATGACATGCATTTTTGTGTGGTTAGGAGCAATAAAACTTCATGGTTCTCCTTTTTTATTTTTTAATTCTCTGTTGTTTGGAGGATTTTCTTGTGTCTCTCAATTTCTGAAAGTTACCTAGGTGAAAACAAAAGCATAGTTTAAAAATTATAACAAGTCCCTATAGCAGTAAAAGGCATGACAAAAAAAAAAAAAAAAGTCACACAGAGCATTCTTGTTGCAAGACACTGCAATAAGAGGAGGAGAACTTTAAAAGGTTTGCTTTGATACAGAACTGCAAAATATATGCCAGGAGTCATCTTCACTCTGAGAGATATTGTAAGAGCCAGTAAATATTACAGGTGTGTCTGCATCTGTTCTAAGCACTTTCTGTTGAGTTTTCTATGCAAGATATACTTGTATCTGTGCTGTTACTCAGTCTTGTTAATATGACTCTGATTTAATTTAAAAAATGTTGAATCACACTAAGTATATAACTTAAATTTGTCACAGATCTGAAACTCAAATGCATTCTTTTGGAAACTTAACAGGCTATAAGTAGATTTATTGTAGTTGATACCATATGGATAACATACTACTATATACCCTTTACTATTTGCTCTGTAGACATTTTTGGCACTGTAATTCATGGCGTAAGAAAAACAAATCGTCTTGTAGAGTACATAAAGTGAGGTGAGCTTAATTAAATATTGGTCTAAAAGAAGCGTTTATGAAATGATGACCAACTAACACCCTTAGCCAGCAAGAGCAGTGCCTGCAATTGCTGTAAATCCTAAGAAAATCAATGGGGGATTTAAGTTGATGTCCATAAAGCAATGATACTTTGTCTCATTTTGCACCCTGTGTTTCCCTAGATGCTTGGTAAGGAATGGAAGAAGCGAGTGACATTAGAAATATTTAACTGAAGCTAAATTGCCTCAAAATCACTGTGATGGTGCATGAGATGCAGGTAGCAGCAGAGGATTGGTGGTGTGGGTGCTTCCTGTGTCAGATGAGGCTTGCAAGACACTTGCTTCCTCTCATATGACGCTGAGCCACGAAATTATGGACAGTGTGCCACATCAGTAGGAAATTTTAGCTGCTGTTATTAGTATTGGGGACTTATGTTTCTTCAGATATTATTAATATTATTATTAAACTAATATGAGCTAAGTCAATAAAATCAATGGTATACAGGTATAATGTTGCTGTTCCATTTTAATCTACTTTTCAGTGTGAGGACAAGCTGTGAGCAGTTCCATGCAACGTATTGTGGAGTAGCAACCTTAATTTGGGAGCCTGCTTATTTGCATAAGAACCATAATGTTTTATACTGAACATATAGTGTCATGTTACTTGAACAGATTGAAATAAAATTTAAACTATAGCACACTTGTTGATCAATGCATGAAGCAGTTTTTGTGCTGAGGCTAATGCAGCAGTATTTATTTGGGATATGACAATTTTTGTTTGTAAATTTGTTTTAGATACCTCCTGAAATTAAAAGGGAAAACGTGATTTGGGGATTTTTGTTGAATGAAAGTTCTAACACTGTAGGATACTGTGTTTCTTAAGATTTGAAGAACAGTTTTCCTGAACAAACTTAATATAATTCATTCTGCCACATGGAGAATAATCCCTCATCAAATGATGCCAGTAAGTTGATCATAACAAATACACTATTTGCATTGCAATGTGGCTTTTGTGGTAATTGGTAAGAGAGAACTTATGAAGGTTTTCAGGAAATAACTTGTACTTTAAAATTCTGACAGAAAAGGAAGAAAAAAAAAAGTTTTTTTTAAAAAAAAAAAGTTTTACCTTAAAATGAATGAATGGTCTTGGATGAATCTTGGCTCCAGGGCTAGATGTTCACTACTATACTTTAGCCAGCTGGCTAAGAAAGATCAGTCTTCTTGATGATTAGTTCACTGCACTGAGCCTCACCTTTTTCTTGACGTATATAGCCAAGTGTTTATATATTCACAAATCTTATATAAATACCTGCAGTTCTAGAGCCTTTTCAAGCATTTCCTTTATCAGTGTTTTATGATTTGTTTTACATTAAAGCTTTCCTACTTGATTTAGTGTTTTAGCCCATAAATATTGATTTCAATGACAAAATAATTAGGTTGGTTTATGTTAAACAAACAGATACCATTTTTTTGGAGGTCTGCTGGATTTCAGAGGAGTGTTTAGGAACACTCTATAGTGGTCTGCAGGATCTAAGTCAGCTTTGATTGCTTACAGCAGAGAGACAACTACCAGTGCCTGATACTTCTAATCAGTTGAGCAGGGTTGTATGAATGGAAGTGCTTTCTTTTCCTTTCTCTTCAGTGAAAAAAATCCTTTACTGACAAGCAATATGTTCTTCTGCCAAATGAAACAGTGCACAAAATTCTGATTTCTTTTCTAGGAAGGAGTTTATGTAGTTTCCATGATTGTACTTTGAAGCACTGCAATTTAATTCAACCTAATTATATTTTTCATTTTAACTATAACTAGTGATCAGATAATTATTTTGTCCTTTAAAGAAAAACCTAGCTATTATGGATGCTCAATAGCCAGTTACATTACTTAAATTAAACTTAAGATATAATAAAAGTATTTATTAATCATTTATCCAAATGAAAACAAGTGTTTAATGCTTCATTATGATTTTACACACTGATATTTAATGCATGTAGGTCACTTTTTTTTTTCCTTTCCTTTTTTTTTTTTTTCCAGAGTTAGAAAGTGCTTTTTGAAAATTAGGTACATCAGATGTCTCTAGTCTAAATACAATCTCACAGGAATAGTCATTCATTCCTTGGAAATAATTATTTCTTATTGAAAAATAACTGTTGTGGTGCATTTAGTCTGTGGTATAATTTGCATGCAGCTGTGAACATGTGACACTTTGTTTCTCTGTTTTCTTGTTCTGCTCTTCTGGATCATGTTTATACAGACGTATTTACAAGAACCATCATGAAAATGTTGTCTTGTTTGCTCATAAGAGCTCAGTAAAAAAAAAAAAAAGTCCGTAAATTGGATTTCACTGTAAAAGAAATGTGTTGTCCATTTTGAGGTTTTTCCCTTTCTGTATTTTTCTTAACCATACATGTAATGACATCGAGTTCTGTATTGTTTTTCTCTTATGTTAACATAAATAACTGCTAAATAGAGAAAAGGAAAGAAAAAGTTAACTCAAGTTTCATACAAGATTATTTCCCCTCCAGGCAGGGGCAGTTGATCACAAGCAATAGCACTGCCCTTCCACATCTGAGACTTTGCAGCTGATACCTGGCTGCTCTGATTCAGTGCAAATGGGAAGCAAAATGGGTTGGCTTAAATTATCTTTATTAGATCTGTGTTCCCCTCGTCGTGATTTGAGCTATGCCATTTTACTTCAGGTCTTTGTGGCCTAGAAGTGTTTGTTGTGCAGTTATAGCTTTTCAGCTGAGCATTGGTAACTCCGGGATAGAAATGCTCACAGCTAAGAAACACTGGCTTGATTGTGTGTGGCCGCCTGCCTGTACCGTGCTTGCACATTGCTTGTAGGCATGCAACAGGACTGGTGGTGAAGACGAGCAAGGCTTCCGTGGTGTTCTCCTAGGCACTGCCCGAGCTCAGCAGCTCATTTGTAACTTGACCACTGATCTCAGATTTTCATATTCATGTAGTTCTTGGTTTAGTGAGCTGAATGACCTGTGCTACTAAGGTCTGAAAGGGAAGTGCCGTGAATTGCAATAAGGAAAGCTGCCTGATGTTTTCCTTTATAGGATGCTGGGTTCAGTTATTTATTTATTAGAACTTCGCAAAACATTAGCTTTTGGGGTTGAAATGTTTGAAGCTGAGTAGCTGCCTCTAACTTATTTTTTTTCTTTTTTTTCCCCCCCACCAAAATTATTTAGCTATTTATAAGAATGCATGGAAAAGTAGCTATTTCTTATGTATTTTTCCTTAAAAATAACCTTTTTGTTTTGCAAATGCTCACATCCCTCCCTTTGAAGCAGAAACTAGAAATTGCATGGTAGTGCAGAAAATGCTGGTGATAGGCTTTGGGGGAAGAAGAGTGGCTTATGAGTCACAGCTTTGCCTTTGTCAGCACTGTGAGAATCTCAGATCTAACCAAACTGTAAGCTTTTAAAGAAATCACAGTTCTCTCGTGCCGTCTTGAGCGCATTAGAGCTGTATGGCTGCAATTGACAGCGTTTTCCTTCTTGCTGAGCAAATTTGCACATCTTCTAATGCTGCACGGATTGCACATGTCCCATCACTAAGAACTGGCTAAAATACACCTGGGCAAGCTTCTCAGCAGGTGGTAATGAATGCCACTGGCCATTGTAACTGAGAGCAGAAAATCCTGCTTCTCTTATTCTCAATTATTTCTCCTCAAGCAACTTCAGAAGATAAACTGCTTGATTTGGAGACATGAAAGCTCAGCTGGGGGGTGGAAGATTGATAAAACTGGGGTAAGGGAGAGCAAGCTGTGCAGGCTGGGCAGGGAGGTTGGAAGCTGAACAGAGGCTGGGCTGGAGGACAAACCGGCTACCTGGTACCACAGTGCCCAAGAGCCAGGAGCAGAGCTACACTGTGGTCCCAGCCCCAAAATAACCCCATCAGTGAACAGGGAGTCAGGCCCAGGGTGTGAGGGCCCTGTCTTTTCCTTATCCTTGCTCTGTCTTCCCCCGGGGAGGCTCTCCTCTGCCACTGTGGTCCCCCGTAGTTTTTTTATGGGCAGAAGGTTTGGAACTTTGGCTAAAATGGATAAATCTGAGCTGAAAGAAAGAAGCAGACTGTCAAAGGGGAGTGGGACATAATAAGACACAGGGTCACAAGAATTGATGAGCAGAGGGACTGAGAAACTGAATCCAGGAGGCAGTGGGAGACCTGATGAAAAAGTGGGTGATGGGGTGGAAAAGAGAGCTGTGGGCAAGGGTACGAGTCAGTATGACTGTCTGTCAGGGAGTGGAGGAGGGACAAAGCATGGGTAGGCAAGGGCAGAGCATGGCACTGCCAGCCACCTCTGGGAATGACAGAGCAAGGAGAGGTGAAAAGTAGTAGGGAGTGGGGGTTTTTATGAGACCCAGACCCTGAAGGTAGGACTGAAGACAGGCTGGGACTTGAATCAACTCGGGCCAAAGGAAATGGGCTTGAGGAAAAGAGGCAGGGGAGCTCTGGAAATGCCTTTTCTGTAAAAAATTTTGGAATATCTGTAAATACTTTTGGTTTCTGTAGAAGCTCCTTGGGAATATGCCGACCACCATTGCTAGTCCCCTGAGGGAAGATTGCTTTGCCTATGCTAACCATTGCTCATTTACTCCTTTACCACAAGAGCTGCACGGTACACATAAAGATTGCAACTCCTCTGCTACCTTGTGCCACCTTGATACCCTGTGCCTTGTATCTGTGTGCCACCCTCACACTGACAATTTCTGCTGTCTTAGTTTGGTTTTGCCAGAAGTGGTGAAAGTAGTATCCAAGTCAAAATATGCCGTGAGCGTGTCTTTGCAAAGCTCCTTAGTTTGGCCCCTTGTGAGCATTACAACTGAATGTTATTTGCCCATGTGGTGACATCCTGTTTTTTTCCACAGGATCCCTGCTTTGTTGCGTGCACAGGATGGACCTGCTCTGGGAATGAACCTGCTGCATGCAGTGGCAAAGGCAGTTCTCCATAGTAGCCCTGCCTCAGTGACAACAGAAGCTGGGACTCGTGCGGCGAGCAGGGGCTGTGCTGATGCTCTGCGCAGCTGCACGCTGCCCTGGGGAACGGGACTCTCTTCCTGGCTGTGATGCTAGGTAAGTTGCTTAATCCGGCCTTTTCTCCTGTCTTTGTGTGTCTGGCTTTCTTGCGGGTGACTTGAGATCTTTGGATCTGATCTGGAAAAGTGCTGAGCACTGATAGCTGCGAGTGAGGCAGCGGGGGCTGAGGTTCGAAAGTGCTATATAAAGCACACTGTAATGCTAAGTACTGCGAAAAAATGAGGTCTGAGTTGTGCCAAGCTGGAGACAAAGTTGTCTTCGGAGTTGGTGAATCATTTTGACCTTAAAGTTGTCTCTGCTCTGGTTAGGAAGTTAGGACTAACAGCATTATTCTAAGTTAGGAGTGACGGAGTAACAGTGAGAGTAACCATTATGTTTGTCGAGTGCCTGGCTGCACCACTGAATTCACAAAGAAATTACTTGTTCTGTCTTCCGAAAAAAAGTTTGAATAGCGTGCAGTAAGTACGGAATCAGACCGTACAGCAAACACCAAGAGGAAAACAGATCGCTGTTTTGATTCGCGGTACTTCTGTACACTGAGCAAAAAGCAGAGATGCTGTGGGAATTGGGTGACACGACCGCGGTGTGTGCCATGCCACATAAGCAAACAAAGGCAAAGCTCAGGTTTCTCTGAAACTTACTTGTGACATTTCCTCCTGTTAGTGCTTGCCTTTACAGACGGATTTTAGTCTGGATGTTCATATCATGTAGTATGATTTGGGGTATAAGAAGCAGGGCATTTTTTGATGCTGTCAGCTCCAATAATGTGTGTGCACAAAGCTGAAATGACAAGTAAATTCATCGTTCATCCCAGGCACATGCCTCTTGTGCCTGGTTATTGTATCAGATACAAAGTACACAGTGTTTGTAATACCCACTATCAGAATGGCTTGAGGTCAGAATTTCAGCTGCATTTCTTCAGCCTCAGGATTCGTGTTTTCCCAGTGCGATGTCCATAGCCAGCTACAATAATGTTGTAATCACTAGATAGCAGTGAATTTTTGGCCAAGGCATGGTTAGGCTAAATATTGTTTTAACTTAGCTAACCTGAATGCAAAATATCTAACATTAGATCAGATTTTATGAATTAACCAAGAGCGTGTCTTTGGTGCCTAGAAACATAGTGAGCATGCTTGCCAGATAAGCTGTTACTCTCTATTACAGAAGAGGGAGACAGTAAAAGCCATGAAGCTTTAATAGTAGCTAAATATTACATTAAATACACAGAGTTAGAATGTGCATTCCCCTTCTAGCCTGCTCATGGGGGTTCCACTGCATCTGGCTCTGTGGAAGGCTGCAGCAATGCTTCAGGCACAGAGCAGGATTTCCAAGTGCTGCTTTCTAAGAAAACCTGAGATATTTTTGTCTCACTGCTGCCCTGCAGTGCAAGCGTTTCTGTAAATCCCAGCGTTTAAAACATAAACAACAAAAAAAGGAGGGGGAGAGGTTGAAGCGATCCGCGTTTTACAAGCAGAAGCTGAAAATGAAATTATTTGCTTTACCTAGAGCATTGGGAATGATGTTGCAATTAGACTGATGCAACAGCGCCTATTACAAAACGCTCGCCCAGCGCACGGCGGCTGCTGGGGGAAGGCAGGGGGCCGGAGCAGCAGGGGAGCCGCGGGGCACCACGTTGGCACGGCTATGTGGGGAGGATTATCGGCTAACGCGGAGAGAGGAATGCCAAGCAAAATAAAAACTGTACCGTTCCTGTGTGTGCCATGAAATGGGGTGGGAGGGGAAGCTGCGTTATCAATGCGCCTACTTTATTTCAGCGACACGTCTCGGCCGGCATGGAAAATGTTCTCTGTTTAGGTGGAGGAAATAATGGGGATGGAAGCTGATTTTGAGCTAATATATTTTGAAAGCTGCTAATAACAGTGGAATTTTATTCATGGCTCTTTATTTCTACAATAGAAAAGTAAAAATTCCTTTGGGTTAACTGAAACATCTGTTGAACAAATTGGTTCAGTTTCATGAGTCTGTTCCTAATTCTGAGAAGTAGATGGTGCCTTATAAAGCTGGTAGAGGTTGGGGTTTAGTGGCCATATTCTTTCATTTTTTTTATTATTATTAAAGTAAGTCATTTTGAAGTGTTATGTTTTCATGAATATAGTAATTCCACAGTTAGTATTTCTAGTATTTCAAGTTTTACCTTTGTTTTAATGAGTTTTCTTCACTGTTGTTTTTAATCAACATTACTAATACTCTTTATAAGACCATGGGTTTCTAACTTTTTATCAAGTTCTTAGAAACAAAGTAATCGAGCTATTAAAAAAAAAACAGTAAATTTCTGTCTGTTTCCTTGTTTCTGTAGATTCTTCTGCTCTGTTTTACTTAGAAAGTTTGTATGTTAACAGTATTCTAGTTGCTCCTACTATTTTGTCATTTATATTAATTTTTTGAATGTGACTTCACAGTTTTAGGAAGAAATGACAAATCAGTTTATGACCTCATGTGATAGAAGCTGAGAGGGTCTTAAATGTCAAAGAGCTGACATGCTATGAATTAATAAAATAAGAAAAAGGCAACGTTTTAATATAGTTTCTAAGATTCTGTTCATATGCATCAGAAATGCATTAATTTAATGTCATGCACATGCACACATCTTAAAGTAGTTTTCTTAGGTATGTTTCCTACCAATATAATCAATTAAAGGAAATCACAACTAAGTATAATGTTAATACAAAATTAAATTGTTTGTGCTTTACTGTTAAATATAAAAAATCAATGCTGGTTCTTTTTGGGTAGCAATGTTTTGGCCCATTTTTTGTTCAGGATTTAAAAATAAAAGCTGAAGTTGGAATTTAGGCACTGAATATACAATTTCTTTGTGGTGCATACGTGTTGTAGAAAATGCAAGACTGGCATTAAATAAACATTCAATGTGATTGTAAGCTGTTATAGTCAGCTGCATGGTCTGGATACTTGTTGGTTCGGAGTAGCTCAGTGTATAGGTAATGAAGAATGTGAACTGAAACTGATAGCACTTTCTAATTTTACTTCAATAGATAATTAAAAAATATATATTTTGGCTATTTTTTTGAAGATTTAATATATATGGTTGTCATCCCTGAAGTAGAAGGTAATGCAAGTATAAATAAGAGATACAGCAGTCTGCCGTACCATTAATGTTGTGTTGTGTTTTGTTTTGTTTTCTTTTCTTTTCTTTTTCATAACAGATTGCTAAATTGAGAAGGAATGGAGCAGTATAGCTGAGTTTTGTGAAGGTGCATTTGAGTATTGGCAGTGCAAGGAACTGCCCTACTGATAAGATGTTCTAAACTCCCCTCGTGTTAGCTTTGTCCTTGGTGCAGCTTGCTGTAGTTTCAGATGACATGCATGAAATGAAGCGAGGGGGAAGTTTTGTGGCTGAAGTCCTGTGCCAAGTCTTTTTGAAGTTGTTTGCAGCAGCTGTGCTGTAGCTAAAGAAAGTCTTTCTTTGCCTCCATCATAACATCTGCATAATCTTTAACAGTAGAATTGTTCCACTATGATGTATCGTTTAGCTAATCTGGGCTGCTTTCATGAATTTTTTTTTCTTCTTTTTTTTTTTTTTTTCCATGTTAGAAATACACACAGTATTTGGGGGGATAAGATTGTGAAGCTTTGGACATAAGTGCTTCCATGTAGAAACAGTAAGTTCCAGTCCAAGAAAAAAAAAAGAAAGTTGAAAAAAAAAAAAAAGAAGAAGAAGATTTGAGGCATTGAGTTTGAGTCTTTAGTTCAGTGATGCTCTTAAGGTAATTGGAGACCTTAGACTGCACCCTGAGAACTGGATTTGTCTTTGCCCTCCCTTGTTTGGAAGGTAGAGGCTCAACACAGGGTCAGTTCCTGTGAGGATGTCACTGCTGTGGTGTCACTGAAGCTAACCTTGGTCTAATGGCTTCCCAAAGAGTGGTTTGCAGCCTTCCAGCTGACGTATTGCCCCATCTTCTTCGTGCCAGTGCTGCTGCCGCTGCAGCTCATGAGTGAGTTGGCTCAGGGACCTGAAATAGCGGTCAGCTAACCACATGTTTGGTTGGGTTAGTTGGCTGGCTTGTCAGCTCCTTGAACTTGCTAACCATAGGGCTGGGCCAGTGTCTGTGCTGAAGATGGCTTGGGAGAAGGGGCAGTGGGACCAGCCTCTTGGTGGCAAATGGGCTTGTGGGCCCTTTCAAAGCCATGCCTACAACTGAGGCAGGAAGGAGATGACTGAGAGAAGTGTTTTCAAAGAAGTGCACAAGTTAAACCTTTCACCATGTTTACTTTGAAAGCTAAGTAAAGAGAATTTATTACATCAGGTGTAATAGAATTTGAAGTTTTAGATTCAGTGTTTCTTTTGGTTGAAGTTTTTTTTTGCATAAGAACTTCTCAATTGAACCTTTATTTAATCTTCTTCCAGTCTGAGATGTAGAGGTCTGCAATAGTTCACTCTCTGTTAGCACAGAAAAACTTTAGTTACAGGATTGGATCCAATGGTCAGATGTAACAGGCTGTGATCTTGGACAGCAAAGCATTTAAAGGTAATAGATATGCTGGCTTTCTCTGTATCAAGGCTTTTGGTGATCTACACTGTAAATACATTTATAGAAGATGCTTGAATCTCAAGCTTTATGTCAGGAAATAAACCTGAAGCAATATATTGTAAACTAAATCCCCCTCTGTAACCTCCCTCCCCTCTTTTTTTTTGTAAGTAAAGATTGTCATCGCAGTTTATCATCAGGAATTTATCAATATGCATTTGATTTTTAATTGATCTGTCTACAGATGCCTTCCCGCTATAATCTGTTAGGAAAATACTTGTCAGTGGAAAAGCAGAATGCTGATTTATCTAACTGCGTTCATTGCAGAAGTTTGGTTTGTGAGATCCATTTAAATAATCTGAGTGAAAGAAAAGACATAGGAAACATCCTGTTGCTTATTAAGGTTATTAAATGGTGCTTTCAAAATTACCTTCTGCTGAAATAATGATTTTTTTTATTATTATTTATGCTGTAAGGACTGTGTTATTCCGCATGCTTAGTGTTTATAAAACTGAACATATCCTTGCCACAATTAAGAATTAATACTGTACTGTTCAGAATAACAAAGCTGCTATTCCAAATTACTTGAGATATTCCATGTTGAGTGGAAAAAGGTAGGTCTGCCAGTAGGTGTAAATCAGAGCGCAGGCTGCCTGCTTGGTGGAAGGCAAAGTGCCCGAGAGGGACTGTGACCACGTCACCGGGTACTGAGCATGCCCTGGGTGACAGCTGGGCGTTTTGGGCTCACACGTGGAAAGCATATGTGCTTCCTGACGCCCAAGGAATATGCTTAGGTCCTAGAAATAGAGATGCATGTCAGCAGCAGTCCAATATATGCATTTTAATCTACGCATTTAAAAATAGGAAACTAAGATCTTAAGACCGGTCTTCAAAAGTGCACACATTTGCTACATTCCGGTTCCAGAAACGTTACCATGAGCTAAGTAATAGTAGTGGAGTACTCGTTTCAAAAACAGGAAGTGCCCACATTATATAAATTGCATAGTTTCAGCTGTCATAAATGTGGTTTCAATGCAGTTGCCGGAGTAAAGCCCAAAGTAGTTATAACCAGCTTACTTCCTCTTCCAGTCAAAGTGCAAATAGCCATATAATTAACAATCTGTGGCTCATTTTCTCTAGCTGGGTTAAGTATTCTATTTCACATGTTCAGTCCCTGTATAAACAGAGGGAACTCGACTTACTTAAGAACATTTTTAAAACCCAAATATTCTTGGCCATAACCAGGCCTGCAGATTCACAAAGCGGGAGCTTCGATCGCCCCTCGAGCTTGGCAGCGGCGCCGAGACCTGCGAGTGTGCCTGGCGTACGTCCAGGCTCCGTGTGGAAGGGAGCACCCTGCCAAGTTGGCTCCTCGCCACGCTAAACTGCATGGGGCAGCAAAACCTGCTGCAGAGCTGGTAGACAGTTTCTCTCTTCAGGGACTTCCCTTCTTACATTCCATTACAAATTGGCTTTATTCAAAGTCTTTTATCATTAATTTTTTGAGGACTGATTGCTCAGCTTTTTTGGACAGCTTTTTTTTTTCTGAGTTAATTCACCCATCCTGCCTTTGACTCTGCTCATGCACTGGGTATGGCAGAAAAGCACAGCAAGTACAGAGGGTAAGAAAGAGTCCCTCTTCTGCTCCTGTACACACACAGGTCATTTCAAATATGTTTTAGGCTGTTTGGGGCCTTTGAGGAGAGCTCTAACTTCTCATCCAGAAAGGGCCTGTCATCACTTCTCTGCCTCTGCTGATATCAGGCACTTCAGCAGCAAATACCTCCTGAATTTTCCCTGCTTACTCTGCTCACTGGGAAAACTGGCAAGGAGCCTGTCCAGGGACAGGCAGCTCTCTCCAGGAGAGCTTCTTTGAGGAAGCTCTGTTTGGTTGCTGAAGGTGAGGTTCCCACCACATACAAAGATCACCAGTGGACATTTTTTGTTCTGACAGTCTTGGAGAGGCTTTTCTTCATGTGAGAGGTGGCACACATGGCCCTGTAAGAAACCCTCAGGCAGAGCTCAACAAGTATTACTCTGTCCTAAACATAGTACGATGGCAAAGAAACCTTCCCCTTCCCCTTCTCCTTAGATAAATAGTGGAGAGTGCTCACTCAAGGCCTTGTGAAGTATCACACATTTATAGTGACCATCTTTGACTTGATTTAAGGACTGTTTCATACAGCACTACCCAAGGTTTTCCATTCTTCGGGAGAGGATGGCTAACCCATTTTGTTGTCGCTGGAACAACCAGACGTGATGCATCGATGGAAGAGAGCCTTGGTTTACCTCTCTGAATGGAATTTTAAAAGCAAAAGAAGTCTTGACAGCGTCTGCATAAAATGGAAGGTTACATCTAACAATTGTGAAGGAAACAGAAATCAGGACAGAGTTCTGCTTGAAGCTTCCCAGAATCTTTGGCTGTAGTTTAATGGGGGAGACAAGGGAAGACCAAGGGAAGTGAGAACTGCGTTGTGTCCTGTGGGGGAAGAAAAAAAAAGAAAAAAAAAAAAGCAGTTGTGTGATATATTGAGGTGTTCCTTTCATTCTAAACACAATTTGGAAACTTTTAGACACAGTAAGGGTTATAACATATTTAATTGTGTAAAGGATTCCTTCCTATTCTTGTCTTCCAATATTTTAAGAGAACATATAGCTCCTGCTCTGAAGGGGAATGGTTGCACAGCTTAAACTTGAGCTTCTCCATACTCAGTATCTGTGTGTAGGTAATAATTTATTATAACATTAATATAACATTATCATCATTCATTCAGAAGAGCCTTATCTTAGGCACTTGCAAGAGTTACTCATGTTTCTTTGCTTAGCATGACATGGCTGTAGTTTCCTCAATGGCTCAGTTCCCAACCCAAGCCCAGGTGATGAAATGTGCTCACATTGTGCTGTGTTTTATCATTGAATTAAGGGATTGGAATGGGTTGTGTTGTAAAAGACAACCCATTGTTGTAAAAGGTTGTGTTGTAGGGCTGGTCAGGTCGATTAAATGAATGGGTTGCTCTAATTTTGTAGAGTAGTAGAGTCCAAATGGTGGCCTGTGGGCCAAAACCAGCCTACAGGGAGTTTGCATCTCTGCTTTTTGCCAAAGGAGATAGTGAGCAGCTCTGAAGGAGCAGGTGCTGCCCAGCAGCTGGACATTATTCAGGACTTGCCACAGTCTAGGTTAGAGGGCTGCCACCAGGGGAATGGAGAAGGTGAAGTGGAAGGATCCCAGTAGAAGATCTTTCCTCCTCTTGTGGTTCAGTCTCATTTCGTTGATGACATCTTGGCAATATTTCTGGGACAGGTGCTTGTGGCATGTACAGGTTGGTCTGCTATGCACTGCTGTGAGGGCTTGGAGGAGAGGTCAGTGAGAATTAGGTGGTGGGAGGATCTGTATCCAACCACCAACATATAATTGCAAAGCCCTCATGAAAAGTGACCTCTTGTAATAAAAAAAAACACATCCTTCAACACTGTTCATTAAAAACACTATAATGATATATAAAAAGTCTCTTTTGCATATGAAGTAATTCAGTTTCAAACTTCTGATTGTCATTTGAGAAGTCAAATAGTACTTTCTGAGGAGGCTTTGATGCTATGGTTTTATATTGGCTTTTAGGAGAATTTCAAAATTGATTTCAGACAGTAACTATTAAACCTGAAAAGATCATAAGAAGCTGGAAAGCTCTGTATGTATATATATGTATATGAAATAATAATGATAAAAATATATTATTGCATATGTGCTCTTAATTGGTATGCTGTCATAGCCTATAAAGATTTTATTATTCTGAGATAATACACATAGTCATTACATGAGAGCACTGAATACTTAATATAAGCAGGTCATCCCAAACAAGATCCTCTCTAACAATTATCTCTATGCTTGGTTGTGTAATCTGATTATCGTAAGATTAAATACTAAATGAAGATTTCAGATTTTATATTATTTATATTTTCTTTAAATTCTTCATTTTTCATATTGACTTTTAAGAATTTTCACACTTAGTAGGGAACCTTTAGGG